GTCCCCAGCCTGCAGTGGCTTACTGGCCACCATACTGAGCAAGTTGCACATGGCAGGTGATGACGAGCTTTGCTGTCCCAGGTTGCAGTGTCAGGTGCGGAGTCTCTTTTGTCGACAATGACACTGTGGAGCCCTAGAGGGTGGCACTGGAGGGAGGAGATTCAGGTGTGTGGGGTGAAGGGAAGAATATGTAAGTATAGAGCTGATAAGAAAGAGGGAAAATAGAAGAAGAGAGATTAGAGAGAAGACTGGTAAAAGTCAAGGCTTGTTCTTTTGTAGATGTCAGGTTCAAATATTATCTGGTCTTAGTCTGCCTAAATTGTTTAAAGGATGCATTAGAAGCTTTAATAAGGATGGCAGGATGGTGTCTGGAAGGATTAAGATCATGGTCCTTCAGCTGTGGGGTACTAGTTTGAATCTATTTTTGTCCTTTTGAGAAGGAATATAATGTCAGTGACACACAGGGTTGGGAGGATTGGATAGCTAGTTTTTTTACTAGCTTCCCACATTTCCCTTTGCTCTGTGCTCTGTCTAGCTGAACTGCAAGATTAACCTCTTGGTTTGGCTTCACTTCAGAATTATTGGAAACCCTTACAATTGGAGAGGGGTCAGGGTAAGGAAGATATTATTTAATAAATGACCTGTAAGCAGGGGTAAGGGGAGGTTTCAGGTCTTTGATTGGGAGTCAGGCTTGGCCACAGTTCAGCTGTGTGGCTCAGAGGCCATTTTAATTCAGTCTAACAATGCCCTTCCTGAGTTGGAATGGGTTAAGATTGGGGAAACATCCTGAATATTTTTTCGTGAAGCTGAAAAGCCAGGAGGATGTGCACTGGTCAAAAATAGCTTTTTTAAAAACCTCTCAACATTTCAAAGTCATGTCATTTTGCATGGTTCACATCTTGTGCTAGCTGTCCAGCACCTTTCATTTGCTCAGCGGAGTAACTTGGTGTCTGAGTCCCGGAGTGCGGCAATATGCAGATGTTGGGGAGATGGGATTACCTGCAGACTTTTGAGATGGGAACCAAAGCTTGTGAGTGGATTGTCCAGATCTTGGCCTCCTATGATTTTTGTACAACTGTGTCATAGAAAACGGGGCTGAAGGAGACCTTCAGAGGTCCTCTAGTTCAGAAGTAGCCAACCTGTGGCCCGCGTGTCAAATGGCACAGGTAGCCACTGTGTGTAGCATGTGGCAGACCAGGGGGCAGGAAAGGTAGCATGCTGGCAGATAGGGCAGGGAGCAGAAAGCAGAGCAGCAGACAGGACAGGGAGCATCCTAGTGCTAGCATGCAAATGTGACACTCTTGACTTCATCATCGGCTTTATGAATGCAACCGATCAGGCAGGGGAAGGGGATTGGAGTGGCACTCGGGGAGGGTGTGGAAGTAACTTGTGACATGCTTACCAGGAAGGTCAGCCCCCACTGATGCAGTCCATTCCCCCAAGCCATGGTCACCTCTCTCTAAATACTAGGTGTATGCTCTCCCTTGGTATCAGTTCCCCTAATGAGATGGCGACATCAAAACAGTGGCTGTTCTCTGGACTTCAGCCTGGTCGTAGTGACTGCATGAATGATCCTAAAGCCTTGACAATACTTAGCTCTGCTTGGCTCACAGATCTTGGAGCACTTCATAAAAAACAAATGTACAGAAATGGAAACTGAGGCAGTGCAAGCTATAGGGACTGGTTGCAGAACAAGTCAAGGAAGAAACAGAGCAGAGCTTCTGTGAAAAGATCTCAGGAGTCCTCTCATGCCTTATTCGCTGGGCCAAAATCCGTTCCTCCCTTACAGAGCCTCCCCTTTCAGTTTTCCTGGGCATCCCATTTCCTTTTGTTCCAAGGTGACCCAGCTGAGAGTTCATCTGAATGGCTGATGGAAACAGATGCCTAGATTTTGATGAGACCAACCACTTCATGGGCTGATGCAACCTGCCAGCTGGCTCTTTCGAGAGAGAGATAGAGATAGAGAAGCATTGTAGATTTATCAGGGCTGATGAATTTTCTGGACTTGCCACATATCCACATTTCTGTACACCTGCCAAATTACAAGAAATTCAGCACCTGGATCTAGTGCTAGCATGCAAATGTGACAGTCTTGACTACTCCTTATTGGATTTATTAATGTTGTCCCCAAGTCTCTTCAGGCACAGTGGGAGTAAGGGAGCTCTGTGTGTCGTGGGACAGCTCTGTCAGTTTGGCTCGGAGGATAGGATTGTCCCGAGGGATGTTTCCATGCATTATGGAAAGGCCACCAGAGTAAGTTGTGGCAAAAACAATGAAATATTGGAACAAGTTGCTTTAGAGGACATGCTGTATTGCTGGGTTTTGGTGTCTTAAGATGAATTTACTCTTCAAAGTTTTACAAATTATAATGTTTCTAGTGATTTATTTAATTATTTTGCTGAAATAAGGTATTCCCTTCTATCTGCAGTTTTACTCCCTTCTCTCTAATGTAGGTGCAGAGTCCAGAGATGTCCTTATACCGGAGGAGTTAAGTGTTCCCTTTTCTGGGTGAGGATAGCGATGCTGCTGATATAACTGCATCTGTTGTGGCTGGGAACCAGGGTTTATTACCTCTTTAATAGTTAAGCTGTGACCTTCTGGTGTAGATCTCTGCAGAGCGCTGAGAGTCTGAGAGCAATTGGAGGAGTTTGTCTGCTTCTGTGCTGGCTGCGTGGTAACCCCCCAGGCCTCTGGAGGGTTCTGGTTCTGGGGTCCTCATTGCAAGAAATGTGACTTGGCATCTCGATTATATTACAAGCCTTAACAAAATAAAGACAACCTTTCAACAAAGTGAAGCTCCTAATATGATATTAACTTAAACTAAGAGTAAAGCAGCATGTGCATTCAGACCGTAGCAAATCATGCTCCAATCATCAGATAGCTTAATTCCAATCAACAGGGTGCTTAATTCCACTCTATTACTGAAACTAAGGAGACAAAACTATCTATTTTGCTACGTTTTAAGAAGTCCAGAAAGATGGCTGCCATAAATCCAAACAGAAAAAAATTATACTGAAGTTAATCAAGTTTATTTTGGCTTACTGCCTTAACACTGAACATGAATTATTATCAAGTGCCTGGACCATAACCTCAGAGACGAATATGAAACCTCCTTGTGCAACTTCATCTTTTGTGTAGTGCCCGACCCTTTCCACCCCCAACCAACTAAAATATTCCAGTCAGACGTTAACAGGTCCTTCTTGATCAGCAAAAGTTTGATGGCTCTTAGTTACCCATAATGACCATGCAAGCTTCAGAAGATTTTCAGTCATGCAACACGGAGCATATTTTAATAAGAAATCTTTTTGGAGGTGTTTAGGCCTGACAGTGTTTCTTTCAGGGGTTATGCATCTTGTGGTCTTCAGTTGCTCACATACATATATGTGCATATATCTGTACTAGTTACAAAGCCTGTCATTCAACATACATTCATCAGCAAGATTAAAAGAGCGTACACTAGTTTCTTCCTGACTAGTTGAGAAGAGGCAATTACAGTAACATTCCTGTTTTGATCACACAAACTCTAAAGAAGCTTATTTCCCTCAAAATATAATCTATCGAGATGAATCCCCTTCAAAATGTTAATAATTTTGTATTTTGTATGAGGTCTGTGTATCCACCTGAGAGTCTGACATCACAGATACACAAGTCAGCCTGTAGGAGCGTCCAGTGTTAAGAGAGAGAACCTGCTCAGTCCAGCACAGACTTTACTGGTGGTGTCCAAAATGCATGCATAACACATTGCATGGCTTCTCAGGTTGATTTCTTTCCCAGGCCGAGTGTAAGCTTTAAAAAGTCTTTTTGCTGCCATCACTGTCAGTTATGGATATGATACTTTTCCTCCCTCCTCAAGTAACTAACCTGGTTATTCAGGTATCCTGTCCAGGCATAACAGCCTGTTGTTAGTATGGCCTGTTGTCATCAATGAATTGGCCTAAGCCATAGTAGGAGAAGGGTGCACAATGGGGGAGCAGTTGAGGTGTCTCACCATGGCTCAGCAAGTGTGAATTTGGGCATCAGTCCAGACCAGGGCCGGCAAAGTCTGGTTCCTCGGCTGGATTGGGCTCGTGGCAGACTCCACTTCCCAGCAGCCCCTGCCCACATCGCTCTGGCCATGTCTGTGAAACCTCAGGAGTGGCAGGGCTGTGATGGCCCTGTGCTCCCTGGGTCTCCACTGAGACTGGCCCAAGTGGTACTGACACGACTGGGCGGGGAGCTGCTCCAGGGTCAAGGCCAGGATCTTGCAGCAGTGACAGCGCAGGCTGGAGACGGGGCAGAGCTGCAATCCCCTGCCCGCACACCCTGGGCAGGGGCACGCAGGTAGCAGATCACAGCTCTGCCCAGCTCCAGTCCTGGAGCAGCTCCATGGAGACCCTGGCCCCACACTGTCATGGCCCTGCTGCCCCTGGGGTGGTCTTGGAGACTGGCTGGAGTGATGCCAGCAGGGGCTGCTGCAAGTCCAGCCACTGGCCAGATCCACCATTTTGCCCACCCCTGGTCCAGACATCTGGTGAAGACTGTCCCCACTTGAAAGTTTGTAAATGGGTACCTGGCCCTTCTGGTTAGGGAGAGTTTGCCAGTATCTAGCAATACTGACACAGCCACACAAGCTTTCTAAGGGGAAAAAGACCTAGATATAAGGTAGGTTCAGTGCTGGATTGGACATAATTTGTCATCCCACCTGTCATCAATTGGTCCCTGCTACTTAGAGGAGGCCAAAACTACCATTCTGCCCATCCATGAGGCATGTAGCCAGCTCTGCACTGGAGAGTTCATGGGAAGATGTCTCCCCTTGGCTCTTGGGGAGATGTCATCATTGCTGGAGGACATGTGGAACGATGATCCACTGAACTCGAGCCTGCTTTGTACGTGAAACAGAGCAATGTTGTGTTGCTAATGTTTTTTTTCCCTTGTGGATCTCATTTTGAATCCCCCTTCCCCTGGTTCTTCCTGGTGCTGGTATGTCCAGTTTTAACCTCCAGTGTCTTGGTAATCAACAGGTTGGTGGGACAAAGACGGGAGTCGTGCGCTATGTGGGAGAGACAGACTTTGCCAAAGGAGAGTGGTGCGGAGTGGAACTGGATGAGCCCTTGGGGAAGAACGATGGAGCAGTCGCTGGTACAAGGTACTGTACGCACTTGCTGCGCTCCCGTTGGACTCTGGTAGGATGTCTGATGTCTACTGCTGTCACATGGGACAGTACAGCCCCGCCGGCTAGGGCTGGTCTGACCAAGTAGAGGTAGTGCATATGCTCTGAGTGTAAGCAGGCTGGATTTCAGGGGAAATATTCTAGCTGTGAGATCTTCCAGGTGCTGAAATAGTTTCCCAAGGGAAGTTGTGGAAGCCCCATATCTGGAGTATTGTAAAACAGGACCACATGCAGGAGTAGATAACAAACAATAAGGGGTGGGGGGAAGAGAGAATGGATAAAAGGAGATGACAGTTGTTTTGGGGATTACTTCCTTGCCTTTTTTTTTGGTTTCTGCAATGCTGTGACTTTAAGACCACCCATCATCATATCTTCATTCCATAAAAATAAATCTTTCCTTTCCCTTATTCAAGCCATAAATTATCCTTTCAGCCTTGTAATGAGGACACGAGATCTTCTGAACATGCCAGGTGTCTCTCTCTCCTTTCTGGGAGCCAGGCTTCTAGCAAGCCCTGAACGAATGGTTGATTAAGTCTTTTGCTCCAGCCTCACAGTAATTCTGCAGCACAACATCTGTTTGCAGATGGCACTTGCGACCTCCCAATGTAGAAGGCACATCAGCTGGTTTTTGCAGCAGTGTATTTTTAGCAGGCTGCTGCTGGGCAAAGTTGAAAGGATCAAAAGGATCAGCTGGGGACTAGGTGAACCTTAAAGCAATTTATGAATTCTTCCAAACTACATTCACCTTTTGCATGCAGGGGTTTGGGTCAGATGACCTTCATGATCTGTAAAACGGAGTAGGATAGTCTAAGACTGTTGGTGAGGCGTGTTTTGTTCATGCTTCACATTAGCGGTGGGAACGATCCTCAGATTGTGAGTTACCCTTGACTTCTTCAGCTCCCACAGGAGCTCTACTCATTCCTCATTTACCAAAAATACTGTTGGAACCAACAGCTGACAATACTTCAGTGGCTCCACTCGTGGGAATAGGAAGCAAGGAAAATTATCTAACCTTTTAAGCCCAAGATAAGGGCTTGATTGCTTGCTTTGAATTTTGGGGAAGTTTCAGCTGAGATTTTGGGTGTGTGTAAAATAGTTGGTCTATCTCTAACTTTTCAGGTGTTCCCTAAAGTGCAGCTAGCTGTTGTCCATCCCGGGTCTTGTTCTGTCCATAGCTGTAAAGAACAGTAGCCAACGGGGAGACTGATTATGGTAGTCATTAATGTACTAGTTATAGCAGCAACAGTATGATGGAACATTATTATTCCTTCAGGCCTTCATGGAAACTTATGGTAGGGGTTGGAAGTAACTTGAAAAATAGCAGGAAACTGTCAGTAATTCAAGAGGTTTTGATTTCAGGAGTAATGATAATTTATTTTGTGTCTGTATTTGTGGCCAAGCATAGATCTGTAAAAGAGGAATGGCTTGTCCCACTCCCACATGAGGACATTGCAGCAAACCAGGAAATGACCAGAAGAAGAGGGTTGTAGAGGTCTGGTCCAGCAAGGAGGGAGAGGCAATGTGCACTTTGCCACCCAGTAGCAGAGCAGCTACACTTTTACTTTAAAACTGCTCCCAAATAATGCTGGGAAGGTATAAAGTAAGGGAGGAAAACACAAGGCGTGTTTGGTCTCCACTTAGAGCTGGATGCCAGGGCTCTGGCTCTGCCAACACCTTTTGCCTGCCTATAAGAGAATGTGCAGCCATTTTTCTGCTTTCTGGGGCTTGGCCTAGCTGTGACCAGGGGTTCGCCTTCCCTCTTCAGGACCATCATAGATGTTTGGGTTGGAAGGGTTGAGTCCGACCCCCTGCCCTGAGCAGGAAAGAGCACCAGGCCAGTCAGGGTTGGTTCAGGTGAATGTGGGGCCTCTTTGACCTAGGTGTCCTTGCTGCCAGTCTTTCTCCCCCTTCACAAGCCACAGGCTCTGCACCAGGTGTCTGTTCAGCCCCACAGCGGGGAGCGGGGATAATAAGAGTGGTGAAGCTAGTGGATCAAGTTTGTCAATTAAACAGGAGGAGGGCAGCCAGTAATATGCCGCAATAAAGGATCTGCTCTCCTGATTTGCCAGGGATGCAGGCAATCCACAGCACTCTCTGCTAACGCAGCGTAGCAGCCACGCATCCCTGGCACAGCAGCAGCAGACCTGGCGCTGATGGTTTCTCCAGCCATCCTTGCATTGCCCTCTTCACATTATGGCCACTTGCTGGGCAGCACTGTCTCAGTCCGCCCTTGGCGCGTGAGTCTGACCTTCTGATTTTCCGTGCCTTAATGTCCTCCATTGTGCAGCTTACAGCCCTTGCAGGCTTTAACATTGAAGCCTCTGGAGAAAAGCCAGCTTGCTAAAAACACACCTTTTGCTTTGCTTCTGAACTATCCAGTCCCTCTGCGTTAGCAGCCAGCCCCTTTCAGACGCCTTCCAGGAAACATCAGCATGCCATCACCACCTTTTTGTTCCTTGTCCTTGCGCTTGTCCTACCTGAGTCCTTGGACACGGACAGGAACAGTGTGTTTCTCGGCTTTGCTAACTGTTGCCATCTAGTGATCCGTCTCGGTCTCTCACCCTGGTTTGTTTTGTGTCGATGCTGGGTGAATTCCTGTTGCTTTTGCAATGAATTAACTTCATGCAAATTAAAACAGTGCCTCCTTCCGGTGGCCTCATGCACATCACACCGACCTCCAAATGAAAAGATGGTTTTGGGACACCGAAGACTACAGGTTGGTCCAGGGTAGGGCCAAAGGGGTGGTGTTTCCACTGTAGGAATCTGCCAGTGCAAGAAGAGCTAGGCCCGGGTGGGTGGCTTTGGGGAGGGGAGAAGGCAGGTGGAAGTGACTGGGGGCTGCAGTAGGAGGTGAGAGCAAAGGGCTCTTGATGCCAAGTACTTGGCTTTCCCTGAGAGCGAGAAAACTTATCCTTTTCAATGGGATAAGTCTGATATGGCTCCAGTTCCTGTAGGCTGCCGGGATTAATTGGGGCGGGGGGAGGGCAAAGCTGGTGCATGCTGAAACATGTTTAAAACTATCCTCCCCCAGCAAAAACCAGTGGCAAGAGCAGCCCTTGCCCACCACTGCAGGCCAACACCTGTGTTGTCAAAGCTGTCCCCATCTGCCACGATGCTGCAGGGGCTGTAGTGTCTACCTCCCTCGGCCTGTGGCAGCGAATCAAGCCCCAAATCCTGGCGGAAGGGCAGAGCAGCGTGTGCAATGCCAGAGGACAGCGCTGGCACATTGGGCCCCTTCTCTCCTCACTCACACTGGTGAAATTCCCTGACCTGCTTCTGGTTTTCTGGGATAACAGGGAAGAATGAGGCCTGTTAGTTTCTGCACTGAGGCATGCCAGCTTTCCATTTATTCGCCAGCTGTTATGTAGGTGCATCCCTACCACTTTATTTTACCTTCCTCTGCCTTTGTCCTTGTTATTATATGACCCTTAGCAACATTTTGTGAACCCCTGATTTCAACCTCTCCCTTTCCATGTCACTCCAGTTGCAGTAAAATGCGTTCATAAAGCATTTGCAGATCTTGACAACGTTGTGCCCCAAATGCTAAGGGTTAATTTTTGTTTCCCAACCAATTTGCCTGCGGTTTCCCCTTCAACAATTTGCAGTCTCCACGGGACACGTGTTTAACTTCTGTGGAATTGGCCTGCACTAATGAACATCAAGGGCCTATTAATACTGGAAGTTCAGAGAGTTACTCACTTAACTAAAGGGGAAGAACCCTTCACTTTACGTGCTCATGGTGGTGGATTCAATCCCTGTTGATGACTGGTGGAGGAAAGAGAGGGTATTAATGGCACAAGACTGTAGCTCAGGCCTCAGGTGATATTTAATGGCTGTTGCTACCAGTCTAGACCAAGATCAAGCCAGCAGTGTAGTGGTAATGGGCTGTGTACAGTAAGTAAGTAAGCTCTGTACAGAAAGGCTGGGAATGGGGGACCATTCCCAGCCTTTCTGTACAGAGCTTACTTCATCAGCCTGCTGCTGAGCAGGGTTTTGGCTGGTGTGTTAAAGCCCAGTTGATTTTCCACCTTAGTCATCTGATCTGTAATGAAATCAGCCCTCAGCACTACTGGTTTTCCAAGCTGCAGGCCTGTGTTGGCGGCCAGCAGAGAGGCTGGAGCAGTGGTGATGGTTGTGCTGGGTTTTTTGGAGGTTGTGTGTTTTTTGTTTTGTTTTTTTTCAGATTGTCTTGAAAAAAAATCAGGCTGGAACAGATGCTTGCAAATGAATCACTTTCTCCTCTGGATGGGAGCTGGCTGTTCTTATAGCCTCCCATACACACAGGGATCTGCTGGGGACTTGCACGTTGCTGCCAACACTTAACAAACCATTACACAAATGCTAGGCCGATTTTTTTGGAGCAGCTGCTCACATCTGGAGAGAGAGGATATGTTATGCCAAGAATCCTGAACTTGCCATCTGAAGATCAGTTAATGTTAATCTTCATATTGGCCTGGTTTGTTTGCTGCTAGTTCTTATTAACTGGGAAGTATTTTGTGTTCATGTAGGAGAGCTGGGGTGGGTTGGTTTGTTGTTTTTGCCCCATCCTTTTATAGTTCCCCAGTGGTTCATCCTCATCATGAACCATTGGGAAATGACTCTCAAACCAGATGGTATTGTCTGTGTGGCCTGCTGCACTGAAGCCAGGGGACGTGACACGTGGATGCTGTCTAGTTGTACTTGCTAAGCGGCAGCAGATGAGTGGCAGAGTGATCATGGCTTTAGCAGATCAGCTTCAAACAAGTCCCCTAGTTTCTGGCAATGTGGGTTCCTGGCACTGGCCTTCCAAAAGAAGCCCCTAACTGGGACTTACCTGCTCCTGGGAGTAGATAAAGGTTCGACTGATGCCCAGCTCCCAGGCTTGTAATTGGAGAAATGAGCTTGCTTCTTAATTTGACAATCTCCGTTTCTCCCTTCTGTATCTTCTTCTTCACTATCTCTTTCTAGTCTTCCTAGTTTTTTTATGTTTTCCTTGTTCTCACTCGTCCTTGCCTTTTATTAATCGCATGTGGAAGAGGCAGCAGTGAAACAGAGGCATCTTCTTCAGCATGGATTTCTCCATCTTGTTGTTTTGATTTGGAAATTTTAATATGCCGACTCTTT